AAGGTTTCATTTTTGTTTTGAAATTTCACAAAAAATCCCCATGAAAAACTACAAATTTAGAATTAATCATGAAATGCAAAAAAGGTCCATTTGTAGCACTTCCCCATCTCTGGGCCTTAATTTCTCCACCTGTAAAATGGGATAATGATTCTGACCCTCCTTTATAAAAAACTGAGAGCTTGATTTTTTTAAAAAAAGCACAATAAAAGCCACCTAGCATAACAATTAATACCAGCTGCCTGAGCTATAAAGCCAACGTGTATTCAAGGAATTTTAATTTTCCTCTTACATATTTAAACACTTGTAAAGAAGGCAAATAGGAGCTGTAAATCTATCCTTAACACCCAAATTTGCACAATCCCTTGCAGTGCTTAAGGCGGTTAGCAAGATGAATTTATGTGAGGACAGTGCCATCCTCTGGCCCCAATTGTTTATTAAACTCAGCTGCTCAGTTCAAGCATAGGAGAGCATCTGCCCTTTGGCTGACCATACTGAATCTCACTCTTTAGGGCGTTTTAGTGGCTAAGCTCCTAGACTGGTGCCCATTTATGACCAGGTTTAGCTGACGGATACGTTTATGTGGTCTGCAAACCTTGGGAAAAATTACTTGTGAGCATACATGTTTTTTTATTTCTATCCCTCCAAGTTTTGAATCCCTGATTTTGCTAGAGGCCAACCTTCTTGCTAGGGAAGGATGGGCAGATTTGACTGACGCTCACCTCCCCCATTTCATGCCTTTGTTTATAGCTAATGTTACTCTCCAGATAGAGAGTTTGATTTTCCAAGCCTCTTATCACAGTCCGAGATGTCCTTGGACTTGCCCCCAGTAGGTGCCAAAGAAATGAAACTCCAACCATTATTCTCTGAATATACCAGTGTCAGGCACTTTATCAAACTGTACACATCATCCCTGCTCATCGGGCTCTCTTCCTCTTCCCAGCCAACCAGCCGTATCAGACTTGTCCAATGTATCTAAAACTATTTTCCACTTAGAGCAGGGATTTGTTTCCTTTGCAGAGTCTGAAGAGTACAGGGTATATTCTCTAAAATTACACCACTTACTCTAAGTACTGAGTGGATTTTCTGAGTTCATTAATTAGTCCGGTAAAATGAATATTAATTTTTTTTAAAGTTGCACTTCATCAGATCTTGGTCCCTGGTAATTTCCACTGCAGCATTTTCTAGCTGCACAAACAGAGAGGGGACTCTCAAGTTGAGCGGGTGCAATTGTGTAGTTGGTGGTTTATTTTTAATTCTTTAGGATGAACGGTTGGTTTTTCTGCTGTTTCATTGCTGAAAAGTAAGTTTCTCCTTACACAGAGGCTGGCACATAAAGTCTCCTGTAGAGAAACTCACCTTATTTTGTAATGGCCACCATCAGCCAGTGCTCTCAGTGGAGGGAGACCTGAAGTTGCCCTCAGTTAAGATGATCGCTTCCTCCCATTGCAGTCAATGGGAGTGAAGCCAAGGTGCCCTCAGTGAAGACGACAAACCTCTATGCTGTCTGGTGGCAGGCTCTCGGATGCGTCTAAGACTCGCTGGATCAAGTAGGAGTACACATTTAAGAACATTTGCAGCAGAGTTCATAAGAGCGATTATCTGTGCAAAATACACAGGAAGTTGGAACTGCTGGTAGAAGGTCTTGTTGTGTGGTGTGTAAGACATCATAAAAACTCCCTAATGACATAAAGGTAATAATATTAAATCCTCCTATGCCAAAGTCTTCTCTCACCCTGGCCAGTCAGGCCACCATCTCCCAGTCTTGCAAGGATCTTCCACTACCCTTCCCCTCCGCAGTCATTCAGTTCCATCCATAGAATAAGCAGAGCCCTTGTGAGGTCACAGGTCTATGGGATGTTGGAGTGAGCCAGGTCTCCAGAGGGCCTGGGATGTGGGGAAGCTCCCAGCTTAACACAGCAGAGCCACCTGCCTGCTGGACCTCAGGCAGAGCAATACTAAACACTCGGGGGGGTGGGGGGGTGGAGCCGATTCTCCATCCACTCCCACCAGGGCAACTCTATGGACTGCAGTGGGTGCATCAGTGTAAACTAACGGAGAATCAGACCCCTGGTATTCAGGGTCAGGGCCACTGATCTCACTGCCCACTTCGCCGAGTGGCCTCAACCAGGAAGGAAGCTCTTGCCTGCTGCCTTGGGCAAAGCAAAGGAACGGAGATGGCAGCTACGGAGCATTCATTCAGAAGTAGCTTAAGCCCATTTTGGCCTCTGCTCCCTCCCAAGGGCAGGGGTGATCTACATGGGTTACTATCCCACCCCTAGAGATGAGCTCTTGGGGAGCATGGAGGATCGTTAGCACCCACCAACCCCTTTGGCATCCTGCACTCCCAGGGAACTTGGGGAAAAGTTCCGTGGGAAGAATGCAAGCTTGTGCCAGATACCGCTGAGAGAGAAGCTAGAGAGAGAGTGCATGGGGGCTTGCACAGGCAGGTGAGCCGGAGTGAGAAGATGGGGCAGATCTTTACCTGATTAACTAGCTGAGGTGTTGAAGGATTAAATGAAGATGCAACACATTCGTTTTATGCCGAGCGGCAAGAGCTAGCGTTTTGCGTGTGCCACATTAAAGCCGAGGCACCCGTTCTCATCTCATCACCATGCCCCATAGGACACTTTCGCCAACCCTTGTTGAAACATCTCATGGCAACACCACCCATTCTCCCCAGACAAGGCAATCCCAGGATCAAACTTTTACTGCCGGATTTTTTAAAAAAAGTTTCCTAATATAAAACTCAGATAGTCATTACCTTTGGAGTGACCTCTCTCAGCACTTTTAGGGGACTTAGAACCTCAGTTGTTACCTGGAATTCTGTCCTGAGTAACCACCAAAACAGAACTTCTCAGCCATGGCAACACTAGAGCCAAGTGTCCTAGATACATCCAAAGAGCAGTCGTGTAACCCGACTGTCCTTCAAACTGACACAGTAATGACGCAGCAACCAAAACTGTTCTACCAGCAACACGATGCTTATGTTCCCAGACCCTCAGATCAATCAGAGAGCCAGTCAAACCAGCCACTTCAAACATTTGTCCTTCCAGACAACCCTGTATCCGTAGGTAAGATAACTAATTCTCTGTTCTTCTGTCTATTCCTCTGTTAAATTCTCCCCCTCAGATTCATCAGTCCTGGGTATTCTCTTCAGGAAATATACTTCTGGGTTCTCTCCTTTTCATTCTCTTCCAATTTTCTTTAATCCTTTAAAGTTAATAATTTTACACCCTTTCAAAATATTCATCAAATAAAGTATCACTTCATAATGGGGACCTTGTGACTTTTCTGTGCTACTATTTCAGGACCATCCAACCTGTACCATCCCCCAAGTCAAGAGAAAGACATTTTCACAGTACCCCCTGCAGGTATGTTTAGGGCACATACAATTTAAAGACATAAGAATTAAGACTGGAATTTTCATAAGAGCTGGGCACTGTCCAGGGGTGCGCTACTCACCATTGGAGCGCCTCCTTGTGGTCCCAGAGGAGGATTAGTTCTGCATATCGGATGCCTCTTCCTGCCAATTCTCTCTCAGGACTCAACTGCTCCCTCCTCATGGCTTGGTTCTCCCCTTCTGGGAGTGCAGACGAATGGCTCTCTGTCCCAGGCAGTCTTCCAGTTCACTGCCTCAATAATGCCACTTCTCCACTGGCTGGTAGGGGAACCCAGGCCCACCCTCTTCTCTGGGTTCCAGCCCAGGGACCCTACACTCAGCAGCTAAGGTCTGCACAGTCCCACACCTTGCTGCTGTTTCCCTGGACTACTTCTTATATTGCCTCTATCAGTCTATTTGTCTACCCTTCTCCAGGCATGTCCTTCTCTCCAAGCCTAGCTCCCTTCTCTTCCTAGTCTCAGGGAAAGTGACTACAAACCTCCTCCCTATAGCCCCATGCTGCCTTCAGCTGTCTGACTTCATATAAGCCCTGGCTGTTCTGTTCAGGTGAGCTTCAGCTTTTAATTAGTCCTCATTGCTCCCTGGCTCCTCCTCCAGGTGCTGCCTAGGCAGTTAATTGGCCCATCTAGCCACCTTAACCCCTTCAGGGGCTGGTGTGGACATCCCATCACAGGCACCTAATGCCCTTTGCAGATCTCATCTGTAAAAGATATCAAAGGGTGCTGGGCAGTCAGCTACCTGGTATCTGGAGAGAAGGTCTGCTTTCCCTTACGGTCTCCTGTTGGTTGCTCTTTCTTGTACACCCTCTCTGGCGTGTAAGCTCCCCTCATTTTGCACACGCACACACACCATCTGAATGGTAAATCAGTGCAAGCTAAAGTGCAAGTGTAAAACTGTGGCTTAGTCAACACTGAAAAGTTAGGTCGAGGTAGCTATATCAGTCAGAGGTGTGAAAAAGTACATCCCTAACGAACAGAGCTGTGCCAACCTAACCCCCGTGGAGATGCAGCTACACCAATGGGCAATGGTCATTCAGGGTGGGGGTGTTCCTACACCCATGGGAAAACCCCTTCCGTCAGCGTAGGCTGTGTCTACACTACGGGGTTGGGCCGGCACAGATACAGCAACCTAGCTATGCCCATCTCATCTTCGTAGCCTAGACACACCCTGTGATGTCAACGGCACCTGCATTGTGATCAGTTTACACCAAACATGTAACTTACACTGTTCACTGGGGCCCAGAGATTCCATGGGAACTGCACCTCTGACTCCAGACTGCATTTGCCCCAAATCCCAGATCAGTGCAAGTTACGCTATGTTTCCACTTGCACCGGTTTCAGACCAGATGTGTACCCTGTGTGTAACTTATTCTCCTACCTGGGCCACAGCAGAACTTGATCCTTTGTGCCAGACCCTTAGCTGGTACACACACACAGCCCCATTGAAGTCAACGGAACTACACCACCAATTTACACCAGCTGAGGATCTGGCCTTTGGCAGGTCTTGGCCGGGGGTGAGTCACATGCTCCCGGAGGATTTATTTACTCATCGTCTCTGGGGGTCGCCACAAATGATGTTTTTATCTCCGTTGCCCAGGTTTCCAGATGGCACCCTGTGGGTGCTTTTTCGATCCCCGGATATATCGCATAGAATGGGCAACGACCAATTTCGTGCAACCGTCCATTTATAAGCTCACGGGTGGATCAAGTTCACCAAACGCTTACCTTCTGGACACCCACAGATACCTCAAGAGTCCTGTCCAGACAGTCCCCTACCCACCCTTCCACCCGATCCCAAGCAACCCCCAGTACATCATGCCTTATTTCAATCAGGAGGGCCCTGCTAATGGGACAGAACAAGTTAATTTGGTTCCTCACCCACTCCATGACTCTCCATTTCTTGAGATGCCTCAGCCCCAGGAAGAAGGTCAGAACAATGACAGCAAACTGCCCCAGCTCCTTCTATCGCTGCCTGGACTCAGCCAGAATGAGCAGGGCCTCCAGATAAGCCCCTACAGCCACCTTAAGGGTACGCCAAGTCCCCACAACCCGAAGTGTGAAGGGTTTGATGGTTTGCAGGTGGAGGGGGAAGAACTCAAAGAAAATCACATGAGCCAGAACCTCCTATTGAATACACAGATCCCAGACACTTGCATCGAAGATCAAAACCCTCTTTCCAGTCCCAGTGTTGCAAACGCGCAGGTGATGGTGAAGGCAGTGTCCTGTCCTCTGCAGGACAGCCTCGGAGCTGAAGCCAGCACAGTGCTGGACACAGAGGAGCCCTTCGATCTGCCTGAGAAGGTTTTGCTGGAAGATGCGATGAAGCTGTTTGATTGCTCTCCAGCTAACTCGGACTCGGAGGTTTCCAGAGACAACCTGAGCCGCACCCTAGCGTCCAGCGAGAGCGAAAGCAAAGATTGCAGCTTCCCGTGTGACGACTCGTCCAGCGACATACGGTCACTCAACCTGCCTGATGAGCTGCTGTCTTTTGACTATAGCGTGCCCGAGATCCTAAACACAGTGACAAGCGTGGATTATTTCTATGACCTCAAAACTTTCAATGAGGACCCCAAGTGGGATTTGGAGCTGGTGCTGCAGCCTCCCCAAACCAGTGGGTCGCTCCAGGGCCCCAGGCAAGAGCCTCAAGGAAAAAGGAAGCACAGCAATGCATCCACTAAGAAAGGAAAGCAGAAAGACAGCAAGAATAAACCTGCCTCTACACAGGGTAGCAGCACCCCAGACAGGCAGGAGTGCCCGGTGACAGGCACCTGACTAGCACTTTTGGAGCAGCTGTGCGGAAGCACAACTGGGCTGGAGCAGGGCTAGGTGGTTGCAGTTGGTGACTGGACCATCCCACTGTTATTCTATTAAAAGCGATCTATCCGGAACCCCAATCTGTGCCCGCATTTACAAGAAGGTTCTAAGTGTGTCACACACACTGCGGTAGAGGGGAAGGAGATGAAAAAGGGCCAGGTGTCTGCAAGGGTCATTAAAACCCGCAGACCGAGTCCAACATCAGGCATTCATCATTCCCAGATATTACAGTTGGTCAATGAGTTACAGGTCTCTTAGACAATATATATATGTATCTGTGCATGACTAATGCAGACTGTTTCCTTAACTGCCTTTCGGGGATGCATTCAGGGCTGGTTCCCAGAAGTGCAGAAAATCCCTAGGGAAATTAATTGGCTTTCCTTCTTCAAAGAAAGCAGGTTTCAACAAAAACCGGCGTCAGTCAGTGCAAAGGGGGGATTTATTCCAGTCGCGGGTGCCTTAAGCGCCTGCAAAGTGGGTGTGTCAAGTACAGTGCAGGATGGTGAGATTAGACACCCCCATTGGACAACCCCCTTGGACCATCCAAGGTGCTGGGCTGTGGAAAAGGAGGCCCTCAGTGAAAGCACTGAAGCCGGCAGTCCTGCCCAGCCCGGAATGCATGGCAGTGGATTGCCAGCTGGGGGTTCTAACCCACGCTGGTCATGGGAGTGTGGATCCAGCAAGCGGATCGTGGGGAGATGGCAATGGAGCACCAGGCACAGTAGTATGGTCTCAGAGGGCATGATGACTAGACTCGCTGTAACTATTACAGAGCTCCCTTCGAATGAAGTTTAGAGGAGCTGGGTAGAGACGATGTAACCCCCACTTCCATCCCACTCTGCTCAGAGTGTAAATTAGTTCTCAGCAGCTCCTCTATGCCCACCCCTAGGATCTCCTCCTCTGTGACTCCCCTTCACCCACGTGCCCCACAATTGGGATGCAACTGGTCACATCATGGGCCCTGGGCACACAACGAGGCCCCAGATCCTTGGTGCTGGGCCGGGCGGCAGCGTCTGGTGTGTGCAGTGGGGAGAGGATATCCCTTCTTCCCCTCTCGACGCAGGACAGAGGTAGTTGAGAAGATGGGGGCCAAGGGAAAAGGAGGAAGAGGAAGTAGCTGCGGCCGCTACTGCTTGGAGGCTGGGGGAGAGTCTGCAGGTGGCAGCAGGTGCCTCTGCCGGAGTTTGCCTCCTGCTTCTTACTAGCTGGTTCTGGGGTGCAACCGATCATGCATTTAAGGTGTGAACGCTGTGCTGGCCTGGTGCATAGATCACCCCACTGCAGAGCCTGGCCGGGGTGACTCAGCTTCTCTCTGCTGCAATGTTGGAGCCAGTGAGGATCATTGTCCTTGGTGACTTCGCAGTCCATGCAAACAATGACTCGTGGGGGTTAGTTCAGTATCTCAGGGCTGCCACCACAACCTGGGGGCAGAGCCAGCTGTTTTCTGGCTCTGCACTTAGAGCAGGCCACAAGCTGGCAGTCACAGAGCAGGTGGAGGTTACATCCTGGCCATGGGCAGACTGTTCCTTCACTTGGTGAGAGCCTGTTTCCTGGGCCATCCTCTGAGATTAAAGGAACCAGTCCACTTCCAGGGGGTTCACGGGCACCTTCCTCCGAAGCATCTGGAACTAGCCCCTGCTGGAGACAGGATAGTGGACTAGATGGACCACAGGTCTGACGTTCCCTCCTTCCTAGAGTACTGCTTCACGCAGACACCTTGTTACATCGCCATTCAGAAGCCAGTGCAGACTCCCGACTGGTTTCTAGGTGGGATTGATAGTGCCAGGTTTGATCCATAAAGCCCTGAACAGTTTGGGACCTTGCTACTCCTTACATCTCCATGCTACGCCATCACAGTTGCAATTTGCAGGGGCCCAGAAGCCAACAGGCCCCCAGCTTAAGCCGGTGGCAGGGGACATCTTCCATCTAGGGAGCCTAGATGTAGGTACTCACTCCTCCTCCTTTGTTCCAAAACAGCCCAGAATGGATGAGCTCCAGACTCATCTTGTGCCCCAGCTTTTCCCCAGAGGGGCAAGTTAAGGGATAAGGGTTGGTTGGCTGGAGGAGCCAATTAAGTTGGGGCAGTTCAGTGAACTGGGTGATTTATATTTCAAAAGATGGGGTCAGTGGGCAAGTGTTTATGTGAAGATTATTTCTATAGCCATATGTACATTATACAGCTTTGCTTTACAAGCACCTAGGACCCTGGAGAGGTGCCTTATAACGCCAGATAAAACTGTATAATACAATAAAATCACTTGTTTTCAACCCTGTTCCCAACATTGCATTTCAGATGGCCTCTGCTTCTTTACCCCTCTCCAGCTCTCCTACAGCTGCCCCTTAAATAGGTACCTTTGTATGATTTGCATCAGATACACAGAGTCCCATTACTGTCATGTTTGTAGTCGGGCTGCTCACAACATTAATTCACAAACTGTGTTGAAAGTGGGAAGTTGTTTCCAAGTCGCAGGCTTTGAAACAGCCGCAGTTCTGGTTCCCCCAAACATACCTGTTTATAATTTACCAGGTTTTTGATAAACAAAAAAAAAAAATCCAATAATTATTTCAATAGCAATTGCACGTGTGTCGTGCACCCTGGCTTCTGCACTCATAGGGTGGGTTTGTAAACACAGTTGTATGTGTTCCAGCCTAGGCTCCATTTGACTAATATTTCCTGTGCCTGTCTTCTTTGGACTGTAAACTCGGTAGGGCAGGGACTGTTTCTCTCTGTGTTTGAGCAGCCTGGGGCCTCACTCTGAGTCAGGAGGTGACACTATCATTCAGAGATGCTAGAACTCAGGGTTGAGGGGGTGCAGCAGCACCCCCTGGCTTGAAGTGGTTTCCATCATATAGAGGGTTTATAGTTTGGCTCTCAGCTCCCCCACAATACACATTGTTCCAGTGCCCATGATTTTTAAGTGAGGTAAAACTTAGGCTATGCCAGACAAAGGGGTACAGTAGTCTGGAAAGGTTGAAAACCACTGAGTTAATGGACTTTTCCTCTTTGGAGAAGTAGTGGAGGCTCATGCTCCAGATGACCTGGTTTGATCCCCACCGATGATCCCAGCCGGGGATGCCATTACATTAAGCACCCGCATTAGGACTCCATGGGGAAATCACGTGGTTATTTGCACAGTTGTCCTTTGTGCATACGTTCTATCTACACTATGATGCTGAAGCACCAGAGGGTAGACGCTTCCTTCTGCAATGGAAGAGGTTCTTCTACTAATGTAGGAAATCCACCCCCCCACCCCGAGTGGCAGGAGCTAGATTGACAGAAGAATTCTTCTGGGGGCCTGGCCGCCTCTACACCCGGGTGTACAGTACTCTGGGGTGTGAATTTGTTATACCACTGAGCAATGTAGCTCAGGCAAGTTAAGTTTTAAGTGTTGACTAGCCCATAGAAAGCACTTTGTAAAACGATGCAGAACCCTTGATTGCAAAACTAATGATTTCAACCTTACTAGAGTCCTGGAGGGTAGATAATTAAGTACTTATCCATCCCCATCAAGGAGCCTAACCCCCCATACATCCCTCCCCCATCTTTTTTTCCTTTGCAGATCTCCTATTTAAAGTTTTACCAAGACCAGTATTCAGAGCAGACACAGAAGTTGTGTCTACAACCATGTGGGTTCTAGGGAAGAGAACATGACACCCTTTTATTGAGCCAACAAAACAAGCTGCTTTGGAGACAAAAGTCTATATGGGTGGGGAAGGGACTCTCACCCCAAAATTACCTTGCCAGGGATGGATACAGAAATGAAACAGTGTCCTGATTCCATCCTCTAGAGGCAGGCCTACTAATTGTGTCATAGAACCCATACCACTAGTGAAGATTCTCTGAGTCTGTGGAATAAATGTCTATTCCTTGGGGAGAGGAGGACTTTAATTTAATCCCTGGCAGGAAGCAGTGAAACAGCCTAGGTACAGGATGAAATGAGCATCCCTTTGCTAGGAAACTCATTCTGAAATCGGAACGTTTTCAAAAAGAGGGAGATATTTTTGCAGCCTGCAGATCACCCAGGAAAGATGTGCAAGAAGAAAGCAACGGCTCAAATGGTACAACAGGTGCCTGGAATACTTCAACTCTCTTTATTTAACATTCCACCTGCATCACCTCTCATGTCAACACAGATAATGCTCCATTTAGAAACAACCTATTTACATCGTCTGCTGCCCAGCCGTGCTGTTACAGAGTACCACCTCCTGAAAGCCTGGTTCTGAAAGGGTACAAACTCACCCCAGGCGACACTGCTCGGAGAACTGAAGGCTACATTACTGGATCAGAAAGAGGAGTATGTCCCTGAATCTTGCTAGGGATAGGTGCAGGCTGAGATATACATGTAACTATTTGGTGGCGGATAGCTTGGGAGTTAGTGGAATAAAACCCTTAGCTACAATAAAATCTCAGCAGCATGGCTCAGCTTAGAAAGTCTAGATACTAGACAGCACATGGACAGAAGTGGCCACTACAGCGAGAGAGAATTGGCGGTGGTTTGGTACATCCTCTTCCTCAGCATCTCACCTCCCAAGCCGACTATTCGTTGAACATCCCTCTTAACCCCTAAGTTTCTAATACTTCAGACTCCAGCTTCCTGCAGGGCAGCGCTTATGTCGTTAGCAGATATCCCAGTGACCCTGGAAAGAGGTTAATTTACTTGAGAGAAGAACAGAAAAACAAAAACAAAAAAGAACCACAACGAGACACTCTAGTGTCTTAGGACCAGCTTTCCTCTCCCGATGCTGTTGTAGAAGCCTTTGGTGCCATCTGGACCACGGGGCAGGCGCATCACCCCAGGTCGAAGGCCAAAGGGATCTGGCATCTTTCTTAACTCCAGAGAGCAGCAGGGTAGAGCTCTGGTTTCCAGAGACTGGCTATGGGCGGCCACCCGTCGCCGCTGGACCCATGAGCTGCCAGAGCCAATCCCGCTGTCCCAGCAGGAATCGGAAAATCTTCGGAACTCGGGACTCGTGTCTGGGCTGGAGGAGCCACCATTGCCCAGCTCGGCAGCCAGCGGTGAAGGGCAGTGGGGGTGAGCCAGGCTTTTATTGGAGAGAAGAGGGCTGGCGTGAGGGCTGCTGAAGAAGGAGGGTTTGAAGCTCATGCCCAGGCTGCAGGCGGACCACGCTGGAGTGGAGAGATACTTCTGCATCAGGATGGGAGGGGAAGCCGGCGTGCTGTCAGACTCCGAAGAGCTGCAGAAGAAAGAATCTCCCGTGGCATAGGCCAGCCTCTCCGACGCCTGCTGCTTCCTGGCCAGCTGGTCCACCAGCTCCACCTCTTCTACGTCATCCCCGCTCTTCTTTTTGGAGCCCTTCCCAGAGAGACGGACCACCTTGATGCTCTCTCTGCCGGGGGAGCCCTGGCCATGGTTCAGCTCCTCATAAGCCTTCCTAGCACTCTCTAGGTTTTCATACTCCACCAGGGCACAGCACTTGGTCAGGAGCTCAGGGTAGCGGGAGGAATATTTCTTCACGTCAGCGGGCAGCTTCTTGCCTGGCCTCAAGATGCGAATAGAGGCGATGGCGCCGAAGGGGCTGAACATTTTAGTGATGGTCTCAATGAAGCTCTTCTGGAGCGGTGGCGACATTCCCTGTTCCTGGGGTAGGAGGTTCCAGGCAAGGAGCAGCTTGCTTGGTGGGATGCTCAGGAGAGACTCCGGGATGGGGATTTTCCTTCTCACTTTAGTCCCTTCTTCGTTCACCTCCAGCAGCTCCGAGAACTGTAGGGCATAGAGAGTGATCCTCCAGTCTCGGGTTAGGTATTTCACCTGTTAGCAAGAGAGAAGGGAAACAATATTCTCCTGCCATGAGGATATCAAAGACTCTCCCTACTCTTGGGATGTACCTGCACAGAACCCTCTGCCCCCATGCACCAGGAGCTCTGGTACTGTCCATATGCGGACATGGAAAGGGGGCACAGTTCCCCACATGCTCCCGGTTTCTTTCATCCCCCCCAAGCAGCCAGTCAGAATGATGTTCCCACCTCCTTTATCCCCATCCCAGCCCTGGGCAGGATTTCACTCCTAGTTCCGAGAAGACAGGCAGTGGGAAAGTTGCGTATGGAAGAGATCCAGGAGGGAAGCACCAGGGGAAGATATGAATCAAAATGTTGCTCTGGTGGGAGCTTCTGGAAATTGCCCTGATCCAAATGCTCTGTGGAGAGCAACTCCTCACCTCTCCCTGCTGGAGGGGAGCTTCCCGCTCTGAGCTGAAGCGTGTTGCGTGGGAGGAACGTGCATGGACGCTGTCCAGTGTGCTGCCTGGCCCTCGGTTATTCAGACAGAGGCCTACAAGCGCACGCTGCTCCACAGAACAGGGCCGGAGACCCCAGAGAGTTACCGAAAGGAGCCTCTTGGGTCACTGAGGCCAGTCCCCTGCCGTTGCAGGCAACCCCATCATAGAATCCCATAGGTTTAATCAAGCTTCATCTTAAAACTAGTTTGCCACCACTCCTATTGGGAAGCTGGCAAATCCCTTCGGTTACACCAGTAATGGAAACAGGCCGTGTTGGTGGGGCCAGGGGGAAGAACACTTCCCAGCTACAAAATATTCAGCCTTGGGTGCTCTCCTAACTTTTCCATAGCATGCATCGCCCAAGAGAGGATTGCCCCAACCTCCCACCGGTTGTCGGGTTACATCTCTGGGGAAACGCCACCTGATGCTGACATGTGCCGGGTTGATGTATTTTGATTGGTCTCTTAATACCATTATGTCCTCCTCCTTCCCCCCACCTGCTCCCGTTCCTCTGCTTTCCTTGTTCCCTTCTCCTACTGCTGTCCTCAGGTTCCAAAGCCCATCCTGTCTCCTTTCCCTATTATGGCACAGTGACCCCTAGGAAAGAAGCTTCTCCTCTTTGCCCTCAGCTGCTTTCACAGAAGTCCAGGCTAGCACTTGGGCTCCCCCCACCAGCCAAAAATGAGAAGAGCTCAGCTGTCTGCAGAGCACAGTTTGGGAACCTTGGTTCCCACTTATTTTCAAGGGGAGGAAGGGAGAAGAGGTTTCATAGATGGTATGGCCAGACGGGACCATTAGATCATGGAGTCCAACCTCTTGCGTAACACAGCTCAGAAACTTCCATCCAGCTACACCTGTACTGAACCCAGTAATGTGTTTGGGTAAACCTTGTCTTCCAGAAATTTATCCA